GACCGCCCCCTGGCGCCTCGCCCATTGGCAGGGGCTCTGGGGGCGGGGCCGACTCCCCCAGCAGGTGGGCGGCGGCGCGCACTCCCCGGCCGGCTCCGCCGTCGGTGGCGCCCAGGGCTGACACTATCTCCCTGTCGCGGGACGGGTCGGTCACAGCGGGGCAGGGGAGCGACTTAGGTAAAAGCCACCAGATGACCGGATCTGGCTAACAGACGTCCCAAACTTCTTTTGAAGTACTTCTTGGGACATCCCTCCCTGAGGGGAAAACTGGAAGAGGGGCTCCACACAGGTGACAGGCGACCCGGCACCTTCCAAAAGAAGGCGCCGCCAGAAACCTGCCAACCGCTCTGTCCGCTGGTGAGGGCAGTAATTTCCACTTAGGTCTATTTACTTCAACTGCACTCTCCAATTCACAACGAGAAAAAAGACAAACAAGGAATGACTAAAGAAAGCAGCAGGGCCCGGGAGCCCCGCGCTCCGAATCCCACTCTCACCTGAGGAAGCAAGCCATTTATCTGAAAGAACTCAGGGAGAAACGTGGGGGCTGTGCCAGGGACTAGGGCTGGGCACTGGAGGCAGGACCACGCCGGGAGAAACAAAAACAGACCCAGGAGAGTGTGCGAAGTGGAAAGCAAACTGGGGGTCGGGGGAGGCAGAAATAGAAGGACGCGGAGGGAAGGAAGGTGAGGAGAGCCTATCCACTTAGAGAGACAGAAAAAGGGGAGCGGAGAAAGCCAAAAGTGGGGCTGTAAGGAGAAAAAACTCACTGGCAAAGAAAAGATAAAATGGACTGTTCTCAAACCTTTGAACCATTACAGGAAAAACAGCTTTGGGGAACTAAAGTAAATATGCCCCATCAGAAAAGTTAAGTATGAAGTTCTCCGGTTACTTTAGTCCCACCCTGGATTCTTCAGATTCACACAAATTTACCCTTCAAATCCTAACAAACAATTCCAAGTGTGCACCACAGATACTCAGGAAACCTCAAAACCGAATTTCCTTTTAACTGCACTGACAAAAAAAAAAAAACGCACCGAAAGCTCTCACCATGGAAACTGATAGGACCTGTGAGGAAGTCCCTTAATCGCTAACAACCCCTAAAGTCTATTTTTAAATATAATAATAATTTTGGTAATGCCATTCCTCTTAATAAAGAGGATCGTGTTCCTGATTAAAGTGGAATTGGTTATGTTACAGATGATATGAAAACCCAATAAGGCGGTTTCTGACGGAGAAAAAGGGTGTGTGGGATAAAGATGGTGGCCTGACAGAAAAAGAGAAAGAAAAATTAAGAGACATAGAGATGTGAGGAGAGGCAACTGTAGAGAAGGAAAAAAAAAGAGGAAAAAAGACAGGAAAAAATGCAGAGACAAGGGGAAGCAAGAAAAGAAAAAAGATGGAGACTGAGAAAAAAGAGACAAGCAGAAGTGATAAAGACAGACCACTCACTGATGGAGAAAGGGGAAACCTTCCTCATATCCAAAAAGTTCTGGGGGAAATGAAGTCAATTAAACTGTTACCTGGAAAGGTAAAACTCAAGGCTCTCCTTGATTACTGGGCTTCACAGTTAATTTCTAGACTTAAATTTTTAAAATATGTCCCTTAAATCTTAAACATAAACTATACCAAAATCAAAAGCACTAGTAAATGCCGAAGACACCTAAATAAACCTTCTTTCAAACACCGCAGGAGGAGAGTGATATACCATGGACAACTCCTGGAACCACTGATGACTCAAAAATGAAGGGTAACAATAGGGGGCAGGATTCCGAAGGCCAAGGAGGGTGGAGGCAGAGCAACCTCCAAGGAATTAAAGGAACCACAGTTTGCCTATGTATCTGTTCTGGGTTATTCTCAACACTTTCCACAACAGATTTGCCTCTGAGCCATGCTTAGTAAAGAGGAATTGTCTTAGCTCACATATGAAATATAACACAATTAATGTATATAATTGTGTTATATCCTTTATTTTTACATTTTTATTATAAAATTTTAAAAATACAGGGCAAGCAGCCCACCTGCTCTAAGCCATTCTAAACAGCCAACTACTGTGCATAGAATCTGACACAGAGTAGGTCTTCAACGAATATTAAATGGCTAAATTATAAGCACAGTTGTCTAAGGGAAATTTTGATAAGTGTCTCAATTTCAATCCTTCTAAATCATCCAGAGGATGAAGATATTTGCAAATATTCCCAAAAAGTGACAGTTCACTTTTAAGTGAAAAAGGTTATCTCTTGATTTCATTTTGTTTAATTCTGTATCATAAATAAATTATAAGTGTGAAAAGTATTGCTGAAACACCTTTCTACAAGTCCAAAGTTCTTGGTTTCTAGGGTCCTCCCCCAAGAAAAAGTAAAACCATCACTATAGCTACTGCATAAATCCAACATCTTAAATTGTTGAACAAACTGCCAAAAAACACATCTGGAAACAACCTATAACTGAAAAGAAATTACTTCTGTTTTTATTAATTTATATTAATATTACCCCTAGTATTTTTCCTTCTCAAACAGAAATTTACATCCTCTATATGTTGTTTTTTGAGTCAGCTATTCTGTAGAGAATTTGTAAACATACTCCTAAAGTTTTCACGTGTTCTCTTCAAAACAGTTGTGGTATCAGACTGAGTAGACAATAATCTATCTATAAAGAGATCATCTGTACTGTTAATTTTGACAAATAAATGTCTTCATATACCTGAAGTTGACTCTGTAGCTTAGGTAGCCTAATTTTCACAGGAGAACATGGGTCTAAAAACATTTGACATTGGAGACATTTTTGGTTGTTACAATTGAGGAAGGGGGTTCTACTGACATCTAGTGGGTAAAGGCCAAGGAGGTTGCTAAACAATTTATGTGTGCAGTACAGGAGAAGTCCTACTCCCAACAAAGAATTAAAAGTGGTCCACAGTGCCAAAATTCAGACACCCCATTTAAGATACAACTACCACTTGATAAACTATAGGACAGAGGAATATACCACAGAGTGCACCTAGCAAAATCTGGACTGTAGGCCATTTTATAGAACAACAGGATTTCTTCAACAAATAAGCTGCAAGAAAACAGATGGAAAGAAAAATCTCTGGATTAAAAAAATCCTCAAAATTCAGGAAAAAACACTGTATTTACCCTTCCACTGCAATAAACAACTAGAAAACTGAAGAAAATATATACTGTTTCATATACTGAACTCTATACACATCACAGGACTATAATTCCTGAGAGAGAGAATCATAAAATGAGGTAAACCCTACAATCTTCTTAACTTTTTGCCGAAAGGCACATTCTAGACCATGGTACAAGAAGGGAGAAATCAGAGTGTGGCACTTTTGCTAAGCTGGAGACAGGGATCACAGTTCAAGAAACCAGTAGCTACACCCTGTAGGACAGAGTACTACAGAGAAAGAAGGTTAAGGAGAACAAGGGCTCCAGGAATTTGCACAGGGAATTTCTTAATTCTCTTGCTGAATACTAACATGTATAAGGCAAAACTCCACAAGAATGGGCAATTTCTAGGGAAATTTTACCAAAGGTAAAAAATAACATTTCATAATGATGAATGAGTAGTTTCAATATAAAGTCATAATGATCTTAAAAGTATACGCAATTAAAAAGAGGTTCAGGATATACAGGACAAAATCTGACAGAAACAAACAAATCCCTAATGTTATTTAAGATTTCCACAATTTTCTTTCAGTAACTGACAGAACAAGTAATATTATTAGGGACACAGAAGACAACATTTTCAACCAATTTGACTTGATAGACATCCACAGAAAATTCTACCCAACAGTAGTGGAACACATATTATTTTCAAATGCATATGGAGTAGTCACTAAAAAGATCACATGTGAGGCCATAATACAAGTCCCAATAAATGTAAAGGACTGAAACCATATAGTACATGTTCTTGGACACAAATTAAATTTGAAATCAGTAACAGATATCTGTGGAATCACCAAATATTTGAAAAGAATAAAACACACTTTAAAATAACCCATGGGTCAGATTTCCATTAGGAAAATTTTAAAGTACTTTGAACTCAACAAAAATAAAAGCACATTTCAAAATATGGGGGTTGCACAGTGAAATTTATTATTAGAGAAATACACAAAAAGGTCTAGAGCTGGGGAGGTAGTTCAGTGGCAGAGCACTTGTCTAGCATACATGAGGCCCTGGATTCAAGGCCTACAACACTAAATAAGTAAATAAGTAAGGCTCTAAAATTGATGAGCCAAGCTTCCACTTTAAGAACCTAGAAAAAAAGAGCAAATTAAACCCAAAATAAGTAAAAGGAAGAATTGATAAAATCTGAAATTGATGATATAGAAAATAGGTAAAGAGAAAAATTAAGTAATCAAAAGATAGTTGTTGGAAAAGTTAAATTGATAAATGTCTAGCTATACTGATTAAGAAATAAAGAATAAACACAAAATACTAACATGAATGAAAGAAAGAACATTAGTACAGACCCTACAAATATGAACAGAACAGACTCAAAAGAATATAACAATTTTATGACAATAAATTCAACAACTGAAATGTTGAAAGATACAAACATAAGACAGAAAATCAAAATAGCCCTATACATATTTTTAAAAATTGAACTCATAATTTTAAAATTCCCACAAAGAAAACTGTAAACCTAGATTGGCTCACTGATAAAATCCACTGAATTAGAAAAATAATAGCAATCCTACATAAACTGCTGCAAAATAGAGTAAAAGTCTTAGCAATTTATTCTGATGCAACATCACCCTGATACCAAAGTCAGAAAAAGACATAACAAGAAAAACACAGACCAAATTCCTTAACATACTATTAGTACATCAAATCCAACAATTGCAT